GAAGGACCAAATCTTTACATCTCTCAGCTTTAAATGCAAAACGGTGAGAAGTGCTTGTGTTACATCTTGTTCTGTTTGTATCAAAGGACAGTGTGGCTAACATCTATGGTGAAAAAGATGGAAACATAAGACTTCAAGAAAAACACTAAAAAATGTATTTCCTAATCTGAATTTCTGGTACAAACTTCACAGACAAAGATAAGCTTAGAACATATTGTCAAAAAATGTAGCATTAAATAGAAGGCAGCATACTGACCTTAGTAATCAGTTCTGCCAGTGAAAACAGAGCAGACATCTTAAGCCTGTAAATCCCAAAGAGAAATAAGGGAGCTGGGTAGCTCATTCCACAAAATTGCAGTTTAAGGATGGCTTCCTTTTCAGGACTGATGTATAAGCTCAAAATGCTATTGACCATATAAATCTTTTCATTGGTACGGATATAGAAGAGGTTTTTTCCTCTTAAAAAGCAAGTCCTCCATTGTCAATTGAGCCTTGTCACAAAGTTCTAGCCGTAAAAGTCATGAAGAATGAAAACACTGCTGTAAGACGCCATATATACCTCGCTGCTGGTGCTCCTAAGGTAACATATGGTCTTCTCATGCTGCATACCATCAGCATAACAAACAGAGACCTAGGCAAATAAATATATTGCAATAATTAAGGAAAATGAATCCTGACTGGTGAGTAAAGACGGTCAGACTAAACTGCAAAACCTGTAAGGTTTTGTTATTGTTAGAAATATGTAGAATTAAAATTACTCTCTTGACTAGTTTAATGCAACCAAATATAGACTCTCTCACTAACATAAGCATTTTGGATGGCCAAAGATGAAGAAAGGATATAAGACAGTCACCAGCTCCCTTTGGAGGAAGGCAGTTCTCAGTGCTCCGCAGATATCTACAAGCAAACCAACAGACGCCTTCAGGAGCTTTGGAATTACAGCAAATTCAGTGTTGCAGGGAGGAAGCCCTTGCAGCACCAGAGTGCAAAGCCATTAAAGAGAGGGCAAGGAGAAGCCTGCCTTAATCTGCATCCACAGATGTGGAACAACCCTATGTTTTAAACATTTTGTTCAAACTGAGGCACTGAAAAGCACTCCCTATGTTCTTATTCAGGCACACCAGCTTTGTTTTGGGGATGAAAGCTAAATGTATCCCAAACACTCACCTCATCTGTTCTATTTTCATTTGTTTTGTACTCTTTTTTCTGCCTCTAGATCAAGGTGCTCCACTGCTCTCTGTGGACAGCTTGATCATATTTTTAGACTATCTACTTTCGACAAAAGCTTTAGGCTTCCCCGACAGAAAGCACTGAAGCCTTTTCTTATTCAGTGCAAGAAAACAAACACAGTTGGCATATTTCTCTAGACACATTTCACAAAGGCAGTGCGTGCACAGCTAGCATGTTTTGGAACAAATAAAAACACAGTTAGTGAGAAGAGACAAACTCAAGAACATGGCTGACAGCAAAAGAAAATCCTAAAGGGAAGAACCAGAAGCCTCCCAAGATGATTCGGAAGGCAAGAAAGGTCCCTGAGCTGCAAACAGTCAGGGGCTGGAAGCATACCCAGGGGAAGTATCATCTCCTTTTCCTGTTTTTAGTCTTTCCTCTTGGCCACTATCAGAGACGATACAGGCTAGGGAGGCCTTCGATATGATACAGGGAGGCTGCTCTTATATTTTTATGATTGATGAGAGAAACAACAATATCTGATAAAAAGTAGGGAAGAGACAGCAAACTAGTTGCTCTGATCTGAATCAGCAGTTAGGAGTAACTGAAGGTCACTCAATTGTGACAAGAGACAGATCCTCGTGCAATAGTCCTAGTTATATTGCTTTTGCAAGCATATTCTCGTCTCCAAGATGGGACCATATAAAGTTCCAAGATGTCAACACATACACGGACAAATGCCCAAAGGAGAAACCTCAAAAAGTAATTCCTTAGTAAGAATAGAACACAGCAACTTCTGATTTGTTGTTTATTTATTACTCAGAGAACCTGTATTCTTTTCTTACAAAAAACCTTGTTATCTCTAAATTATTTTTCAGTTGTGAACCTTAAAAATAGGCAGATGCTACAGAAAATCTGTGAAGAATAAATGAGTGGGTAGACTCATGGTCATGTTCTACATGGCTGAAAAATGAAGGGCTAAACTGACATATTACTTGCTTTTGTCTCCAGTCAAGAAATACAATAAAAATTAGAAAGTTTACTCCAAAATATGAACATGAGTCTTAAAAATCTCAGAAGTCTTAGCTGTTTAGAACAGTATTACAAGTCAACGTTTTTAAAATATTCGGATTTTTGCTAAGTAGAAAAAACACCACCTCTGAAAATACAGCTGGTACATGCTCTTCATTTTTATATTTAATCCAAGGAGTATTTTTACAAGTTATTTTATTCTGAACATGAAAAGTATGTAGCCCATACGGAAAGAGCCTTTTTCCTTCTTTTCACTTGATATTTCAGCCTTCTTTTAAGAGAGATTTGGTCACTCAGTCTGAAGGTGACTGGCTGGAGATACGAGTTGAACAGACACTGTTCTTCCTGTTGTATTTCGAGACACACCCAAAAAAGACTTTTTTCTTTTTTCAAGATGTCTGCTATTTAATTGCAAACCAGATGTCCTCCAAAACAGGATAAGAAATGAACCCCATGAGAATATAACACTTTCAAGAAAGTCCAGAACATACCCAAGCAAAAAACCAAACACACACGCATACACACAGCCCCCCCCACACATCCCACCAAACCATATAATTAAAACCTGTATTAGAGACAGTACCCATGGAATGGTACAACAGACTCTTCGAAGAGGTCTCCAAGAGGGAAACAGGTACTAAAGCCTAAATATTTGGCACTAGTGATTGACTAACAAGAAGTATTCCTAACAGCTGTTATGCCCTGCTTCATTAATGTGCTCAGAGCTAAACAGACGTGCTGGTGAGCACCTTGCAAACATCCTTCCAGCTCAACTCATAACAAGGAGGAAAAAACCAAACCAAAACAAGACTCTCACAGTACCAAGCAAACGTTACAAAATCTAATATGCTTTCCCAGGTTTTAAATAAAACAGATTAATAGCTGAAAAGCACATATTTAAAAAGCAAACGCAGTACTGATACTCTTGTAGCTTCTAGGAACAGGCAAGGACTCTGCAACATTACTGTATAACTTATTAATTATGTGGTTTACACCCATTCCATAGCCAAAGGAAAAGACATGTTATACTTGTTGTATGACTTTGCATACTCTTGGTTTCAAAAATTCCTATTCTAGAAACAATAATTTGTGTTTCAATAAGGCAACCTACATGGTCTACAATCAACAGAAATTCACAACTCCAGATAACCTACTATGCAACGCCTGTCAGAACACTATTTACATGTGATGTTCTTTATATTGATACATTCCCACCACGTAAAAAAGTAGTCTCTTTCTCATTACCGTTAATATTATTTACCCTCCATCCAGAACAGAATAATTTGCAATCCCCAGCCAAAGGCAAGGAATCAAAAGGTCCATCATATTTAAAGTGCTGTATATATGTATGTACTGTTGATGTGAGCAACTTTCTAGCTCCTTAATTGGAGACACTTCCCTGTACGACTTTCTGGGCACTAACATAACTTATTGCTTCTAGAAACACCTTGTACATTCAAAGTTAACCATTTCCATATATAGGATAGCTTTCCTATTTAATATTAAACAAATGGCTTCCAAGTCCTTTACGTGAAGCTAAACTATTTGGAGTAAAACTACATCTTCATTAACAAAATAAAGGTGCAAGAGCAAGCGTAAAAATGTAGAGAAGTAACCTAAACTTTACTTAGAATTTTAACGGAAATATCTAGCAAACAGTTGAGTAACTGGGGCACCTTTTTTACGATTTCCTTGTTCCTCACCCCTGCTGACTATTCTTCATGTTAAAAGATAGTTCAGGAGGTAATCTGCCTATTTCATTGCAGACAGCTTTGTGTATTAAAAGAAAGTAACAGAAGTAACAAAACAACTGCTCAGTGCAGACACACAGAACATGGATATTCACAGTTGCAAAGATTAGAAAAATATAGACTAAAGCCTGTTGGTCTCAAAATATTTTACATGACTTTCAGTATCATTATCTTCACTTAGTAAAGGAAGAGTTCGATGAAGATCATCATGTAAGCTAGTCACAAAATCAGAAAGCCTCAGCCCACACTAGAGCTACAGAACTCCCTACATACATATATGTGTATTCATAAAGAACTACGGAGAGGAAAACAAGTAACATATACTGCACAATGAAAAAGCTGAAAACAGATAAAAATGGAGGATGAAAAATGATTATGTTGGCATTGCAGTTAACTCTTTACTAAAAACTCCATCACTCCAAAATTCACATGCAAAATATGTGATTCCTTACACACCCAAGTGGACTATGCTTACATATGTTTGCAGTAACACGCATTATTCTCCACAAAGAGTGCCAAAACCAAACTTCTGTTTTGCTTGAAGCAGGTCTGATGAGTTATTGGTTTCCAGAGCAGTCAGCAACATCAAGAGTGAAATTTACAAAAATTAATGTATTTGTACTCCCTTTCTTCTGCCTGTGCAGAAGCTCACCATTAAAGTGGTAATGTTACCTACAGGTTAGAACACATAACACAGAAAACGCAAGAAGCAGGTTTTCAGCTCTCACTTAACCCAGATTATTGTATGTGCTTGATTTGATCCAGAGCTCCCTCAAAGTGAATCTTTTCACTGATCCAGTGAACTTTAGGACTGGTCCTTGGCATCACCACCCCATTCCTACCAGTGAACATACAGTGACTGGGCCAATCAGATTTAAAGAGTGTATTCCACCCAAGACTGAGTAAAGCAGAATGAAGTAGGAATTAGAATTACTTACCTGAAAGGCCTGTATACAAAAATCCTAGTCAGCAAAAACACACCATGTTAACCATTACAATGAAAAGACAAACTATAAGCATCTGCATAAAACTCAGGAAACTTCATACTTCTCTTCCTGATGCTGGTCCTCCTGGTCACTTAGTTCATCATCATCTACCATATGCCCAAATGGTTCAGAAGAAATTGATACCATATTAGACAGGATAACTCTGCTGTCACTGCTTCCTGTAAGGATCAGCTGATCGTGAGAATGATTGTATCTGACATTCCAGACCCTAAAAATGAAATCAGAAAGAAAAAGGCTATTCTTGGCAAGTAGCGCATCAATATTATTTTTTTTTTTTAAAAAACAGCACCAAAAACACCCCAATCTTTAACTTAAATGTTTTAAGTACATGTAGAAGTGGTGTGCCTCATTCCAAAGACTGCTTTTTGCCATCTTCATTAAGCTTTTAAGCTTCCACATCATCTGCTTTCTATGTGTCTTTATAATTCAACAAATCAGTTTGGAAAAAAAAAAAATTCAAAGAACAAGCCACACCATTCAGTGGTATCATTCCTTGAGGGTACATGTCAATTCATTGTTTAGTAAGTCAGATAAATAATTAAGTTCTAAATATAAAAATTTCCCCAAAGCAAAATATAGATTAGAAATAGCTTGTTAAACAAATATCTCACAACATTCTTATAGCAAAGTTTAAAATAGACCCTAAAACAGAAGCCGGATTATCTTTCCCTTCTATTTTTACATATCAAATTAATACCAAATGTCTTATGGTTCTTGTTTTATTTTTTTTTTTAAATCTTCTGGGAAAAAAAAAGAAGTATAAATGCTGCTTCTGTTAATTCACATCTTCATTCCCCTCAAAGTAGCTTCAGGGTCCAGATTTATTTTGCAAGAATTACTCCAACCCAAATTTTATAAATACGAACTGCTCATTTTTTTCTGAATGACTGAAGTCTGCAAACATCAGACAACATTCTCTCCTTGCTCCAGCCACAGGCCAGAGTGGTAGATACAGGCTCTAAATATTATCTCAGATAATAAAATGACTCACTTGTATATCCTAGCTTAAGGGCTGTGAAGAGCATGAAAAAACTGGGGCTGAATTATTGAGCAGTCCAACCATTCCACAACAGGAGGATAGATGGCAGCTGCTGTAACCAAAACAGCTCAAGGGCTTTTCTCATGTCAGGTGCAGCAGATCAGGCTCAATTTGGGAAGGCACACCTGTGTCCCAGCTGGCCCCTACAAGCCAACTTCTGTGCTGCGCTTCTCAAAGGTGTACCTTACCTCCCAACAATGTTAACAACAGTTTCTTGCCAATTAAACTAACATTGTCTAAAGTCTTAATTTGCAATCATACAAGGAACATTCACATGTTGAAACCTTTCCTCCATACAGAAAAATGATTATTCACAACAGCACAGAGTAAGTTTGAATTGTTCCTAAACAGTAAAATAATTCACTGAATAAATTACACAAAGCCATCCACCCACAAAACAGCATGCAGACAATTTGTTCTACCAGTGGGAATGCTCCTCTAGTGTCTTCACTGGTTCAGTGACATTTCTTGTGTCCCAGAATTTCACCTTGCAGTCATCTCCACAGCTAGCCAGGTAGTACTGTTTATTGGGATTAAAGTCTAGGTCTCGTACCAGCTGTCCATGTGCATTTTCTATGCAATATATCTGTCTGTAAAACACATTAAAAAAATTAAATGGTCTATAAAAAGCTAAATGCACTCCACTGACAGCAATCTGTTTCCCTGGAAACTTGCATAATCCCCTTAGCACCCACAGACCTAGAGTTCCCACTGCTACTGCATCATTTAGGGAAATCCCAGCTGTTAACAACAGTGACTTGTATAGATGTCTCAGCTTGCTTTGCTATTTCCTTGCTTGCATTATGATCATCTGCAACTAAAAGGAAACAGTAGTTCCAGACAATTCTAGCACAGCTTTCTAACAACAGATACAAAATGACTGCTACTAAACCCCAGTATTCTCTGGTAAGAGCTTCTCCACCTCTAACTAGTTATGCCAATTCTGTATTTATGACATCTAGTTCTACCTACATGAAAATGTAATCCTGAGATGCAAGGGAGGCAACAGATATGAACAACAGCTTTTTTATTATTGCTGTATTTTGATCTTACCTTGCTGAGCTCTAGCATTTATCACTAACTTAGTTGTGGCCCTTAAATTACTCCGCCATGCGCACACCCAGCCATCTGGACCACTTTTGTAGTACTGCTAACAACTCAGCATTCTTATTCAAAATATCATGTTCCATCAGTCTGTCTCCTTACCTCACCTCTTAAACTTAGGATTTTTGTTTGTTTCCACTATTGCATTACTAGCTTTATGAAAAGACTGTATCTGTTCCCCTGTTAATTCTCAAAGCCACCATGTACCGAAGTTTAAGTCTCCTACAATCTTCACTAGAACTTGTCAATACTTTGGTTTTTGGGTTTTTTTTGTTTGTTTGGTTGGTTTTTTTTACATGAAAAGGTTTCTCTTCAGAAAAAAAACAACTTGGTATTTCCTGCACTATATGTACATTCCACTGTCAGGACCAGATAGAGAAGTCTCTTGCTGTTAATACCTAGCTACTATACAAAGCAAAGCAGCTCCATAAGGAGAGGTTCAAAGTATATCAGGCCTGTGCTCAGCTCTATCCTGACTGCTATGGCAGTCACTCAGGATAAAGGGCATTACTTAGATATCCAACATCAACACTCTTCTCAGAGTTTGAGAGATTAAGGACATCACTCAAATATGCCTTTCTACCAGGTATTCTGGGATCTGAATTCAACATTTCCTCTTAATTTTTATGCGAAAATTTTTAAATCTCAGGCATGCTTGCAGCAATAAAGCACTTCTCCTTTATTGAATCTTTCACTTCTTTCTTCCAATCCTTGCATTGCTCATAGAGATGTTTGTAAGAGCTTAATAAAAAATACCACCGTCCACTGTATATTCAGCAGTGCTTATGATGAAAGCCTGTATCCCAACTTAAGTATTATTCTGACCGTGTGATCCCTTTCCTTCTCAAATATGACTATTCTTGTCTTTCACTATCATCCTACCTACACAGCAACATCACCTACACTGAATTTCCCACTTACATCACAGATTGAGGCCAGACCACACGAACACTTTCTCCACCTACTGGCTCCATTTCTCATATTCTTTTTCTTCCATATTTTTTATAATTTATTCTTGGAGTCTGAATTTTCCTGATACGGTTCTCTCTCTAAATCCATTCAGCCTAGTGTCTGTCTCCTCCACTTTACAAGCTCTTTTCCGATTAAGACTGCTTCCTAGTCTAGTCTCGGAATCTTCCCACCGACCTATTATTTCCGCCCCCCCACCCCCCTTGTTTGCTGTATCCAAAATCATTCACTCCTATCTTACAGCTATCATAATCGCACTCTGTAGAAGTAGTTCTTCTAGCTACTTCTTTAGTGTCTCTCTTCTCTTATTCTTTGCTGGTATAACAGTTTTCCGACCTTCCCCCCCCATTTTTTGTTTCTTATACCGTCACAGTTCATACTGCCCTGACTTTAAACCTCTAGCCTAACTAGTCATTACGAAATATTCACATCATACTAGACATATTACAGTCTAATTGCAGATGAGACTTATTCCTGCACATATTTTTCAAGTACATTGGAGAGAGCTCTTTGGCATAGCCTTGCACTCGTAAATTGGTTCAAGGACTATCTAATCTGAGCTTCATTTAAAGTAATTAGAATTATGGGGTCTGCTTTTGTTAACCAAGCCACCCTTTCACTGAGGATCTAGTTAATATCTGGATTATCTATCTTTCATAGAAATTACTCACAGTATTCAAAGAATGCAAGATAGAGATGCTTCTTCTAATGCAACAGAGCATGAAGGAGACTTGACAATATTTAACATTTTCTAGTTAGAAACACAGGCTTTCATCTTAAGGTCTGTATGCTATACACTAAAAACTGAATGATTACAAAAACATCCCAAAAAAGAAACTTTAAGAAAAAACCCTTTCTCCTTGGACCTTTCTTTCCTCTCCTGAATGCTTCATTTAAGTGAGTCTTCATAAATGAAAGTATACACATATATATGAAGTCAGATTTTTATATATGCTTTTAAAGGGCAAAGAACAGGACTTTCATACCTGATGACAAACATACAGGAAATGACTTAATTATTATATTTGTATTTTTAGCGTCTGTTTATTAAATTAACCTTTTCATCAAAAACAAAGCTGGCAAACGTGGCGATTTATTGCTACACCCCTGAGCTGGCAAGAACCATAGAACTAAATTTAAGTCATCCCCCTTTAAGGCAACAAAAGTTATTACAAGACATCAGTCTTCTTGCTTTAGTGATAAATTACTATGTGCTAAGGGGATAAAGCGTATCTTAAAAAAGCTTGCACAGGCTTTAGTAGTCATGGCAACAGATGTGCACAACATCACTCCTTTGCTTATCAAAATCACAACTGAGCAGGGGGAAAACACCTTATTAGGTACACTCAAAGCCTTAATTGATTTGGAAATTATTTTGATAGATTCAATAGTTTAATACAACTAGCACACTATAATCTTTAATATAGTATAGTATATACTATTTGTTAAAATAAGAGAAGTGAAGAGTGAACCTACCCTGTGAATTACCTTCAGAGACTAAAGTTATCTTTAAATAGTCATAGCATAGCATAGTCAGGACTGACGGTAAATTATTTTCAGGTTGAATTATAGAATAGCTTCATTCAGGTAATGCCTATATATTGAACAAATCATCCTGAGTCTAGTACATAGTTCAGTGAAACTCAATATACAAGTTAGAAATGAAGCTGAGGGGAAAAAAAAACAGAAAACCCTTTACTAAACTGTGTATGTATCAGCTATGCAAGCCCGATCATTCCTTTTATGTGATAGCTTCGCCACATTTCTCCTATTAAAAAAAAAAAATTAAAAAATTATGTCAGGAGCAATGAAAAAAATCTATTTCCAAAGGAGACTGTCTTTTTTAGAGAACAGGACTGCAATGTCTCATTACCTCATGCTTCGTGTATCCCATCCCCGAATGGTGGTATCATTGGCTGTTGCAATCTGTGTACAATTGTGGTGTGGACTCCATCTTCCAGAAGTAAATTTTAATTGTCCTTTCCCTTCCAAGGCTGCAGAACTAGACAGCTAAAATAATGAAACAAAGCTGGCAATGTTTCTAAAGCTAAAATGAAATTAGTTCCACTGAAAAGAAAAACTGCACAATAGCCTATTGTTCCAAGTGTAACAGACTACCAAAATCCTAGGATAAAAACCAGAAAAAATAAAGAGCTAGAGCTGATTTTGTATCTCACAAAGTATTTTTCAGAAAGGCTTACACAGTATAATGTATTCAGAAATATTAGAAGTACTGTACTACTTTATAAACTAAACAGCTTCAGATCATTTGTTGAAACAGTAGATAGACAGTATGTGTACACAGCACAAGTTTGTAGTTGCCTCAGACCAATAATCACACCCATTTCATTTCATGAACAGTCTTACAAGAATGGTTTTCCATGTCAAAATACCAAATTTTAGCTGAAGGAACAGTTATAGTGTCAGAGAGACGCCAACAAATGTATACTAACTTAAAAAAAAAATCAAGGCCCAGGTGCCCACGTCATCACATACATGCCTGTTAAAATAATAGCAGGCACTAGATCACTAATCTACAATCTCTGAGAATTAAAGGTTTCCGTTCCAAAAGTAGCCGTGCATGTCACTGAGCAGACAGCTCTGCCTCTCCATAGTTAATGAAAAGGCGGCGCAAAGTAATAACTTTCTCTTTGAAGTTGTACAGAGATCTATTCTCCAATTCAATGAGAACATGGGGAAAAAATGAAGCTGCAGACACCGCAAATTGATTTTACTTCTAATCAATTACTGAAACTGACTGTTAAATATCTAAAGAGGGGAGGGGGGTGGGGGGGGAGATCAAAATACTTGCATTTTAACCAGATATAAAATTTATACAAATTTCAAGCAGCTAGGCAGACAGCAGATTTATTTGGTCATCTTGCACATGATGTTCCTATTTCAAAATCTTTAATTAAGACGGATTTCCCAAAAGCAGATTACTGCACTGGATCCCATTGGATCACTTTTCTCCTTTACCTAAATCCTAACACATTATAAAATATTCTATTAAAAAGATTTCACAGCACAAATATTACACTTCAATGGATGAAAAAGACTAAAACACACATACTGCTTACATAAACTTTAACTGACATCAACAGAAAAATACAGTCAATACTTCTTAAATCTATTTGTGTATGATGCCAATGTCCATTTCTGTATTTTGGTAACTTTTTACTATTACAGTCGTACCAAGAATATCACATTTATTTAGCATTCACATTAACAATCTAAAAATTACAACTTTTCCATCACTGAAGTCTATGCTACCTAAGATGTGTCTACCAAAAATTTTTCTTTTCTTTTCTTTAAAGAACGTAGGATTCCCAGCATGCAAGGTCATATCTTGTTAATGGGTTAATGAGTAAAAGAACATCACTAGTACCATTCTTCCTCAAGTACAAATACTGCCTGAAAGCCTTTCTACAACTTGCATGTTACTAACATAAAGAAAAATACCGCACAGGACATGAGACACAGGATAATAAAATAAAACTGCAGTGTTTCTTTCTTGAAACATACTAGAATCCAGGCACAAGGGAATATGCAGAGCTTGACTAGGTAATTTAAAAAATTAAACTAAGTTTCTTTAGTAAGCAGTCCTGGCCAAACAAAGTTTGAATTAGAGGAAGAGGAGGGAAGCAAGTGTTAGTGCAGACAGTAAGAGAGCACCAACAAAAAGAGTATCTCTCACCAGATATTTCCAAAATCTGTTCTTGAGACAGAAAGCATCACATATCCAAAATACGACTCAGGGTAGGTGCTCTTTGTCAGCAGTAGCTAATACTTTCTCCAGCATTCCAGCAATTTTTTTAAGTCATTATTTCAACTTTTAGAATTTAAACTATCATAAAAAATCAACATTTTTTTCTTTTCAGCCAAAAGCTTAGGGGTGAGGCCAGGACACCCATCCTGCACTATTTCTTAAGAACACATATGAAAATATCACATACATGTAAGATTAGCCAAGTCATCCTTGCCTTCTCAAGCAATCCTTAAGTATTTGCAGGAATTAAATGACATCTTTCCTCGTATGGATGTCCAACTATGTACACAGCCAAGTTCCCAATCAACTCATGGTAGACTTCTGTTAATAAAATGAAATCCCAGAAGTTACTGAATAAGGTTTTGTTCAATGTTCTTTTGCATGTCTTCTATGAGCCAGAAAGGAACTACACAGATTTAAAGAACAGTTAAGAGATAAGGGAGGGCAAAGTTCATACAGAAGAAGGAATACTGATGTAACAGAAGGAAGTTTTCAAGTCTCCTTCCTGGAAATCCAAGAAATGAGCTTAAAGGAAACAAAGCTGGTAGTTCGGAATCACAAATACAGATTCAAAAAAACCCCTAGATTCAACTGATACCTAAATACACAGACAGGTAGACAACCTTTCTTTTTATCTTGAACTCTTCCTTCCACTTCTTTAAAGGCAGAAAAGTTGACTACAGAAGGAAAGGAAAACATGACAAAGGCCTATTTAGGCACTAATCTCACATAAGGATTTGGATTTGTGCTGCCCAGAAGATGAAGACATGCAGCTCTGAGTGCCTCACTGGATACGGAAGGAAAACAATTCATGACAATATCTTATAAACACAAAGTGTGACTCCTAGTAGGAAAAAAAAGGGAAGTGAATAAGATCCAATGTCTACTTTTAGACAACAGAATTAGCTATTGTTCTTGCATTGTGCAAGGATCACACACTGACTTCCGAAAAAACTCTGGACAAATGAAAAGTTGAACAGTGTAAAACGGTGATCAGAATATGGATTTAATACTGTTTGCAAGTGCTTAAGTGGATCAGTACTTAAAGCTGGGGACATAACAATAATAAAAGGGCAGTATGATATTTACTACAATCACGTGAGAGCAATGATTCCAAATCAAAATAAAAGGTTCTGAAAAAAAATAAGCAATGTAGTATGATTGGCACAGAACCACGTATGTTCTTAATCCTCAATGAAGGAAGAGGTTTTACAAAAGCAAAGTATCTGAATATGAAAAAGTCTGTCCTATCTTTGAAGCACTGATTTCTGTGTATTCAAATGAAAACATTAATTGCTCCAATTTATTTTTATCAAAACACCAGTAAGGACTGAGATGCCTTTTTCTCATAAGGACTGATTTGGAATGAGGAAAGGATAGGCAGCATCCTTTAAAAAAAAAAAAAAAATAAACAAACCAAAAACAGACCCCCCAAAACCCAACATATATTAACCTCTAGAGGGTACAGAAATTATCTAGAAAAATCAGAAGTAGCATGAAGACAGTGAACCAATTATTCATGCTTTCTTCCAAAACAAGACCTATGGCCCATCATATGAAGCCTGTAGCAGTCAGATTCAACAGTAAACAAAAGAATGTGGTCCTCCAACCAGTGGACTCCTTGACAAAAGACACTTGAATGCATAAAGCCTACTTATGTCCAAGAACAGAACAGGAAAGTACTTGAAAAAAAAAGATCTACTGAAGGTTACGCTAAATACACAAACACAACCAGGCTCAGAAAAATCCTTGGACCGAAAAGAGTAGAAGACCGAGTGTTAAGGGCAAAGTATCCAACACATTTGCTCCCCTGAACTTTTCCTTGGAGCCTGCTATAGCCACTGCTTCAAACAGAATACTGAGACTGGACAGACATGGGTATGGACCAGGGTGCTGGTTTTGGTTGGAATACAGTTAATTTTCTTCATAGTAGCTAGTATGAGGCTGTGGTTCTGGATTTGTGCTGAGAAAAATGTTGGTAACACCCTGATGTTTTAGTCGTTGCCAAACAATGCTTACGTTAAGCCAAGGACTTCTTCAGCTTCTCATACTGCCCCTCTCCTCCCAACTGGGAGGAGACACAGCCAGGACAGGTGATCCAAACTGGCCAAAGGGATATTCCATACCATAAAATGTCATGCTCAGCATATAAGCTAGGGGAGCTGTCTGGGCTGGGCTGGAGGGGAGCACAACCTCTGCTCAAGGACTGCCCGCATGTCAGTTGGCAGGTGGTGAGCAGTTGCATCACTTGTTTTTCTTGTGTTTTGTTTTTGTAGTTCCGCTTTTCATTACAATTCATTATTATCATTAGCAGTAGCAGTACTACTAGTAGCATTATCAGTACTATTTTATTTTATTTCAGTCATTAAACTGTTCTTAACTCAATCCATATGTTTTCTTACCTTTTTCCTCTGATTCTCTCCTCCATCTCATAGGGGCGGGGGGAGTGAGCAAGTGGCTGTCTGGTGCTTATTGCTGGCTGGGGTTACACCATGACAACCGGCATAGTCACTCAGAATTGAGTAGCACGAACCAGATGAATGATAGGATTTATCAACTCTTCTTCTCAGGGTGGCTGAGGGGGCTGTCATTTTCATCTCTCACAACATATGAAAAACAATGTGAGAGGACCAGTTCTAAAGTTCTATAAACTTCTGGATGAAATGGTAACTGGAATCATGTAGTTCTGTTCCCTCACTACACTATCTTCATCTAATAAACAAGGTTTTTTTAAGCACAACTAGTTACAGTTTTGGTTTGTTTTGGTTTTGTTGTGGGGTTTTTTTTTGTTAATGTATGAACCAATTCTAAAGGTAAAACGACCAAAAATGAATAATTATGTTATGCATTTGGAAAGTCAGGTGTTTCCCTTAAAGAGACTTTGACACAAACCATTAGAAAACATCTCCCCAGAACAAAATGTTCAGAAAAGAGAGAACGTTCTAGTGCTCCAATTTGACTGATTTAGAAATTCATACGACATCCTTCTGGATAACAAAAGTGTACCAAATTAAAGTGCTACAGTTCACAGTACGTAGAAATGGTTACCAGTGACAATCTAGCAATGCTCTCATAAGAAAACAAAAGATAGCATTAAAATATTAAAAATATTAAGTTTTCTCTTGTGTTAATTAAAATCCATCTACTTGCTAGAGTGTGTAATATCAGCATATAGATTAGTATCTTACTTTCAGAAATTGAATTATCAGTCATTATACAGGGAGAGCAAAAGAGGCAAATT